ACAGACAAGTTGCTGTCGTTTTGTTCTTCAATCTAGTTGTGGAGGATGTTGCTTCACTGGCCCAAGTTGGCACCATCATTGTGCTCTTCTCTGGAAAGGCAGATCAGTCGCCGGCTTCTGGACGGCCGCTCACTGCGGCTGCTGGCCGCTCACGCTGGCTGCTGGCCACACACGGTAACCCATGGCAATCCACTGCCACAGGGACTGCAGCCCACACCGTCGCCGGTGACTCACGGCAGCCCAGCTCCAGGTTGAGCCGTTGTTCAGCATCTTAGCTGTAGAGGGCAGTGTCACTGGCCCTCATATGTGGGATCCGAACCGTGGCCCTCTGGCATCCCAAGCGAGTTCCCAACCATCGCGCCACTCGGCCGGCCCTAATGTCATGCTTCTTAATCATTTATATTCTTAAGATTTGTTCATCACTAAATGAAGCAATGTGCATCAGTGTACCTTTTCCCAGCCCAATTTTGCTACCACACATGTACCAACCACATCTTCACCCCCAATATTCCAAGTCGCTTCTCCAAACCAGGAGAGGCAGAGGTGGTTAGAGGGATGTCAGTGAGAGAGGGAGGAAAGCAACTACTTTTGAACAGATGGTTGATAGAAACTCTTCTATTTTGGTAGGAGAAATTTAGTAGATTTATTCTTGGGAAGCTGAATACATTTTATAAAATCGATCCCTTTTTGAAAATTTGTTAGTTATTGTCATCTAACCTTCTAGTTGAACTTGTCATTAATAAAAATTTTGAAAGCGAATTTTTCCTAGAAAAGATAACTTACAAGTTTACTTTCATATACCTTCCATGATGGGGGAAGCGCAACATAACCTTGACAGACTGTGACACAGTTGGGGAAGAGTGGTGTTGAGATATACAGTTCAGATTCCAAAGGGAAAAATACGCAATTTCTACAAGACTCTAATGACATTTAGGCTTTTTCATTGTCACTGAACAGTTGCAACACGTAGCTAAATTGTTTTCAAATACCTAGAAATGTACTTTTCTTTTTCCTGTGGATAACCAGGCTAAATATGTAGCAATGGTGAAATGGAGCATGTGAAACTTTGAAAGCATTTTCAGAGTAAATATTGGGTAATAACATCATCAACATTAGCTCCATTAGTCTTTGTTGTGATGTAGTTTTTCAAAAAACCTACTTATTTCACATATAAAATTGAAAATAGCTGCAGGGGAAATTATAGTTGTACAGTTATAGTCATTAATAACTTTAGTCAGATTGGTCCTTGGTGATAAAACTTAAGGTCTTTTACTTCCTAAGGCTATAAGTAAGCTTGAGTCTATTCAAAGGGATCCCAACATCCCATCATACTTTTAAGTTTAATGAATATTCATTTTCCGTAATGGTTGAGGTTTGTCTAAACAAAATATTGAGTTAATGCAGCCACTGAATCAAACTAATTTGGGATAAATTTCTTTCGAAGCATATGCAAAAAGATTCATACATATTCTATCCACTGGAGGAGACCACTTTTCCCCAGCATACCAATAACAGGATTTCTACATCCACATTTGTCTACATTTTGAAAAGGAAAAAAATTATTGAACAATTGTTTTTTTTCAGTGCCACACAGTGAGTATGAGCTAGGCTGGGCTTAGAATTCTACATGTCTGTCTCCAGGTCTGGGGGCAGAGAGAATGGTTGCAACTGGCAGGTGCTCTCTAATGAAATGATTTACACCTTTTCTTTGCCCTCATGAAACTATGTAACTATCTTTAGCAAGTCAGTATTGAAAGAGATCATTACAATCATGCTTTAGGAAATGGAGGTGTTCATAACTATAAAAACTCCTTAAATAAATACTATATCTGCTTCATTCATGTAGTTCAA